TCTTCTGTGCTGGCTTCTATGAGGTTGAGGCAGGAAGGAGAGAAATGGAAAACAGATGTGTTTCCTGCGGGGACGCTGCTGTGGGTCTGCTGTGAGTCTTCATTGCTGATCTAGCTCATTCCTTGTATCGGGGTTTCTCAGCCTCAGCACTCTTGACATGTGGGGCTGGATCATTCTTTGCCATGGAAGCCTGGCCTGTGCACTGTTAAGCAACATCTCTGACTTCCACCCATTGGATGTAGCCCCCAAGTTATGACAACCAAAAATATCTCCGGATCTTGCCCAATGTCCCTGGGGGACTGCCTTGCTCTTGATTGAGAACCATTGCTCTGTAACTTGGTGCAGACAAGTGAGGGCCCCACAGGCCTGCTGAGGAGAGACTCTCTCCTAGGAGGCTCCTGGATTGCTGACTGTAGGAGGTGGCCTCATGCCATATTGCTCTGAGGAGGCCCCCTGACCCCCAGTCCTGGCATCTACAGTCCCATCCATGCTCTGTATCCTGACTCTGGGGCCCGCGAGTACAGCATCCATCTTCTGAGGGGATGGATGGTCCCAGCCCTCGGCCCCCTGGCTGACCACCCACGATGCCAGCTCCTCTGGGCTCGTTCCAAACTGCAGGAACCCAGGGGCAGATCAGCCAGCACAGGGCCAAGTGGACAGCCAGGTGGGGCACAAGATGTTCCTCTCTGTCCTCCCACACTCTTTACAATGATCCCACTGTGTCCCAACCCTCATAACCCCCATGTGATTTCCAGAAAAACCAGTCAAGTCCTTATGAAAGAGTGACCGTCTCATCACAGACACCTGCTGTCCCCAAAGGGTAACCTCTCACCCTCCTCCGTCCTCTTTCTTTCGGGGCAGGGTGCAACGACATCTGACTTCTGGAGCTGGGCCAAGTGTCACATGTGATAGCCCTCAACTTCAGGCACCAGCCGCAAGTTTAGGGGTCCTCACTTTTGACCAGTTGGCTACAAACTTGGGGGTTCCCACTACTACCCCAGTCAGGTTCTATAACTCACTAGGTTGACCCGGAGAGTGTTATACTTGCTTTTACAGTTCTGTTTCTGTTTTCCGATGGCTGGCTGGTACAGGGCGGTTTTATTAGAGCAAAAGGATACGGATCAGAAGCAGCCACTGGGAGAGACACAGAGGGTGAGATCTGGGAGGGAGCCACAACCAAATTTCTGTCATCCTTAGGGATATGTCACTGTCTTGGGAGATTAATGCGTGACAATACACAGAGCGTTGCCAGCCAGGGGAGCTCACCTGAGCCTAGCGTTGTCACTGGGCTTTCGTGCATAGGCAGGATCAAGTCATTAGCCACTGATCCACCAATTGAACTCAATCTCCGGCCCCCCTCCCCAAGGGCAAGCTGATGTCCAGTGGCTCGAAGCCCCGTCCCTCTAATCTCGAGGTTGGTCTTTCTGGGGTGACCAGCCCCCATCCTGAGTCATCTCATTAGCATGAACTACCAAGTGAGGTCTGAAGGGCCCCATGGGTAGCAAAGACACAACTATCAGGAAATTCCAGGGATGTAAAGGTTACCTCCCAGGGACAGGACACAGGCCAGCCAAATTCTCCATCACACACAGGGTTCAGTGCCAGGCTGAGTGGCGTCTCCCAGCTGGTGGTTGTCTGAACTGAGAATCCGGGGGCGGGGCTGGATTTTATTCTCAGCCGTGGGATCTAATTCTCAGAAAATAGGAAAGACCCCATGAGGCGCTCATGCCATTGTCATACATCTGGCATCTCATTTTGTTCTCAGGGCAACCCTCAAGGCAGGCTCAGGCTGAGGTCTGTCTGGCTCCAGAGCTGCCCCTTCTGGGCCAGGGCGTCCTGCCCCCCGCCCACCCCTGGTACAGTGTCCATGGCCCACTAGCTGCCCATGTGGCCTACAAACCACCATATTCCTCCCACAAAGCCCCCCGGCTCTGCCCCCTGCTGCTGGGCCCGCACCACTCTGGACCTCTGACCTGCCTCCGGTCCACTCCTCATCTCCTCATCTTCTGAGGTCTCTGGTCTCAGGCTCACAACCTTCTTGGCTTCGACCCCTTCTGAGAACACGCAGGACCTTGAGATCTGGGAGTTGGACCCCTGCCACAGTCTCTCCCCCATCTAGAATGATCCTCGTCCTCATCCCCCACTCTTGTGGCCACAGCAGAACCACTTTTCAAGTGCTGAACTCCATTCTGCGGGTCTGTCCCATTTTCTCCCTCCTATGGCCACCACTGTAATTCAGACCTGGCCTTTAAACCGACTCCTAAGGGTCTTGTTCCTTTGGCCTTGAACACCCCACTGCTCTCCTCCAGTCCACTGTCTTGAGGCTGTGGGGAGGAAGGGACAGGGACATTGTCTAGAGTCCAGACCATCCTCTGGGAGACCAGAACGTGCCTCCCCAAAATATGAAGGATTGTTGAGCTGAAGGCAGTTAAGAAGCAGCAGATGCAGGAAAGCTCTCTGCCCCCCCTCTAGTTGCCTAAAAGCAGGACATAGATTTGCAAAGACCAAAGGTGCCCCAGTCCCTTTTCTGCCAGGGAGAGCAAAGGTCAACCTCTGAAGACAACTTGGGACTCTCATGGGCCTGGAGATGGCACCAGAGGAACGGACATGAACAAGCTGTGCTAACCAGCCTTCATCTGCCAGTTATTTGCTGTCCAAGTTGCCACCCCTGGAGACTCAAAGTCCTTGTCCTTTGTCACTTCTCAAGAAAAAAAAAGTCTTGTCACTTCTCCAGAATTTACTGTTCTTTGTTGAAGACGCTACATAAGCTGGAACTGAAAGCCACTCTTTGAGAACGGTCATTCCCTGGTGTCTCCCACGTGCCCATGAAATGTACACATAGATAAACTGGTTTTTCTTGCTAGTCTGTCTTTTGTTATGGGGGCCGTCCCAGCTGACAGTTAACAGGAGGGTCAGGAAACACCCATCTGCCTTTCTGTGCTCAGCTCCATGACACCCCTGGGTCTCCTCCTGCCAGCTGCTGCCAACAGGGGGCGGCAGGAGGGCGTGCTGGGCTGGAGGAGAAGGCTGGCCCGTTGCTTCCTATCTGCTCACTGGTCTCCTGAGCGTCTCCTGGCAACGGGGACACTTGGTTCCAGTGTCCCTGCACTCCCAGAACTGACCTCCTCAGAGTTTGAGTCCTGGCTCTGTGGGGCCGCTTCTCCAGGCTTCCAGGACTGACAACCCCAACCTTTCCTGTTTGTTTTCCTGCCACATGGGTGGGGTCACTGCTCCCCTCAGTTACTCTCTCTCTGTTCCCCCAGTGTCTGTCTGCTTCCTGCCCTTTCTGTCCTGCAATACCCATTTAACCGATGCCCTGTACTAAATTATTTGTTGACATAACAGATGTAGTTTGTTTTCTTGATTGATAAATATGTATAACTACTTTTCATCTCCCTTACTGATAGAGTTTGGATGTACTGCCCTCCCAGAACTCGTGGAAATCTGATCCCCTATGGGACAGTTTGAGTCACAGGGGCAGATCCCTCATGAATGGATTAATGCTCTCCCTTGGGGTTGGGGGATTAATGAGTGAGTTCTTGCTCTATTAGTTCCCACAAGAGCTGGTTGTTTAAAAGACCCTGGCACCTCCCATCTCTCTCTTGCTTCCTCTCACCACGTGATCCGCTTGTACCCGCTGGCTGCCTGCCACTTTCCACTATGAGAAGAAGCAGCCTGAGGCCCATGCCAGATGCAGCTGTCCCAGAATTGTGAGCCAAATAAACCCCTGTTCTTTATAAATTACCCAGTCTCAGGTATTCTGTTATAGCAACACAAATGGACTAATACACTTACCTAATAGTTCATAAGTGCCAGATCCTATTCTAATCTCTTCACTCACTCGACCCCCACAAAACCCTATAAGATAAAAATTACTGTTATCCCCCCTACACGGAGGGGCGATCCGAGGCAGAGGAAGGCATCATTGTTTGCTGAAGTTCATGCAGCTGGTAGGAGTTGGCTCCTGGAGTCTGGCTCCTGAGATAATGCTCATATCTACCCACCCTGCACCCTGCCCTGGATGGCAGCAAGTGACCACATAATGTGACAGTTTATGGCTGAACCACAGTTATCAATGGACATTTGTATTGTTTGGGGGTTTTAGCTCCTATAAACCCGGATCTCCTTGAACTTGACAAATCTGAAACACTTGAGCCAAAAACCTTGTGACTTCCTGAATTACTTGCTTCACGATTTGTTATACTCTGTTTCTTTAGTGTTCATCTCCTACCATCTCAGCCTCTCCGGCCCTGGCCTTTTTCCTTCCTCCATTTCTTTCTCTTTCATCCTATCTTGCCAGTGCTGCTATGAATCTGGCCAAATGGGCAAAGAAACATCTCGTTCAGCAGGAGCTTCTGTAGTACACAGAGGGAAGGTGCTAGAAGGCACTAGATGCTTTCTACTTGAACCAGTCTTCAGTGATGTGTGGGTATTTGTGCTACCCTGAAATGCCTCCAAAGGCCTCTGCCAAGAGCTACTGAAAACCCCATGCGTAGCTGAGGTCTTTGGTTGTGGAGGATGCCACACCTTGCAATTCCAGCTCCAGTTTCCCAGCGTCCATCACGGCAGCTGCTCTGTACCACTGTCCTTGCTGGAGTTGGGAAGGATCACTCCCAGCATGCTTGGCTCTGTCTGCCCAGTATTTTGCTCTTGCCCTCAGCAGGTTTCTGGTATCCTATAGAGAGAATCAGCTTAGAGATCCAAGTTGGTATTATTTTTAGAAATAAAGATCATTCAGTCTCAGCTTGCCAAGGCCTGTTCAGAGAATAAAAACAAGGAAAACCCTCACATTTTTCCAAAGTTCAAGTTGGAGTAGTGCAATGTGGATGCAAAACTCCTGAATAATTGCCTTGGTTTGCAAAAGATTGACCTTGGTTCATTCCTTGGGGACAGTGCTGAGCAATCCTAAGCACACGCCTCTTGGTTTTGTCCCATCCATTCTTGGACAACACTTCATGCCAAATCTGCCCCCATGTGACCCTTTGTCTTCTGAATTTTAGGGCAGAGGAGATCATCTGTCCATAATTCTTGATGAAACTGCAGCCCAGTTAACAACAGGATCATTTTTTTAAGACTTGAAAACTGAAATAGGGCTGTATGTGGAAAATGTCACCTTGCAGCAGGCAGAACTGTTTTTGTTCCTGCAGAAGGGATCCAGCAGACTTCAAGCCTCTAGGATCAGGCTGGTCTTATGCAGAAAATGTTAAAAAAAAAAAAAAAAAAACTGGCCAAATGAAGTCTCACTTCAAACATCAGAAAAGACATTTCTGGGCTGGCCAGATAGCTCAGCTGGTTAGAGCGTGGTGCTACAACACCAGGGTCAAGGGCTGAGATCTCCACACCAAGATCAGCTACAAAAAAGAAAAGAAAAGACATTTTTTACAAAATGAGCAGAAGCCTCTTTCTCCTTATTCTAGATTCTGTATTAGTCAGGGTTCTCCAGAGAAACAAACCCAATAGGATGTGTGTGTATATATACGTACACACACACCCTCTCACACACGTATGTATATATACAAGGGGTTTTCAAAAATTCATGGAAAGATTCATGTTATCTTTTAATTCTATTTTCCACACACTTTTTGAAGTACCCTCATCTATATGTGCACATATACAGAGAGACACAGTGTGGGTTCAAGGACTGTTGCTGGCAGAACGCCTTCTGCTCTGGGGCTCAGTCTTTGTCTATTCAGCCTTCAGCTGATGGGAGGAGGCCCACCTACGTTACAGGGAGTCATCTGCTTTACTCAGAGTCCACCCATGTGAATTTGTTTTTCCTAGCAATTTTTTTTATTATTAGCATATTCATTGCTACAAATCATACTTACTCTTTATTCCCCTTATCCAATCTCTCCCCTTCCCCCTCCGCCTCCCCTTCCTGTTCCCCTGCCCGCCTCTAATAACCATAGATTTGTTCTCTGCATCTGATAGATTAACTGTTCCTCTGTTGGTTTGTTGCTTAGATGATCTGTCCAGGACTGAGGCAGGTGTGATCAAGTCCTCCCCTATTACTGTAAATCAAATGCTTCTTCTATTACTCTGGAGTGTGCTTTGTGGAGAGAGAGGACCTCTTTTTTGGGGGGGTCTCCACTGGTGCCTCTCCTTGTGTCAATGCATTTAAGAGTCTAGCTTGCCATCTGCATGGTGGCTGCGACTGCTGCAATAGAGACTAGCTGCTTTCAGGGCAGCCGTGGCAATTGCGGTTGCTATGGCAGGCTACCTGTATGAAAATGGTGATTTTGGTGTGCTCTTTACCTGGTTGCGGCTGGGTTCGGCTTCCCCCGGCTCCATACCTCAGGACCCTGGCAGGGCCTGGGGAGGTGGCAGCAGCCATGTAAATTTTTTTTTTTTCCTTTTTGTCTTTTTTCGTGTCCGGCAATGGATCGCAACCCTCAGTGTCGCGCCCATACCAGACTGGGACCGGCAACGGGATCGCAACCCTCGGTGCTGCGCCCGCAGCTCACTCAGCCAGTGAGCGGGAACCGGTCTGTAGCCATGTAAATATTAATCTCATCCAAAAACACCTTCATGGGGACCGGACACCATTCCTACAACCAGGCACACTGTGCCAGCGCCTTGGGGCCCACCCGGGGACTCAAGGTATGGAGCTGGGGATCAGACACTCTCCACAACCAGGCACACTGCCAGCACCAAGGAGCATGCCAAAATCATCTCCTTCATGTGAGTGGCCCATCACAGCCACCATGATAACCATGGCTGCCGCGAAGGCAGCTAGACACCACAACCACCATGCAGATGGCCTGCCAGCCACTGGAGTGCATTGACACAAGGAGAGTTATCACCAGAGATAAAGAAAGGAGGAGGATGTCTCTCCCCACAGAGCCCATTTCAGAATGACAGAAGAAGCATCTGCTCTATGATAATATTGGGGGACCTGATCACGCCTCTCAGCATTGGGCAGATCATTTGGGCAGCAAATCAACAGAGTAACCATTATTCTTTCAGAACGAGAGAAGAAATCTAGGGTGATTAGAGGTGGGAGGGGGGAGGTAGAAAGAGGGGGAGAGATTGCACAAGGGGCATAAAGAACAAGTACAATTTGTAACAATATATATGCTAGTAATATTGATTTGATCATTATATCTCAATGTTGAACCCCCAAAATATGTATAATCAATTTCGATTCAATAACAACTAAATTTTTTAAAAAAAAACCTTCATGAAAACATCCAGAATATGGGCCGGCCTGTGGCTCACTCGGGAGAGTGCGGTGCTGATAACACCAAGGCCCCGGGTTCGGATCCCACATAGGGATGGTCAGTTCGCTCACTGGGTGAGCGTGGTGCTGACAACACCAAGCCAAGGGTTAAGATCCCCTTACCGGTCATCTTTTAAAGAAAAAAAACATCCAGAATAATGTTTAAACAAATATCTGGTCCAGCCAAGTTGACACAAAATTAACCGTCACAGACCCCTAGGAATCTGTCTTAGGAAAAGAGACACTGATATCACCAAGGTCGAGGGTTCGGTCCCTGTACTGGCCAGTCACCAAAAAAAAAAAGGAGAGGAAAATAAGCGGAAACATATTAGGTGCAGCCTTGTCTCAGACTGATGTCCCTCAGAAGCAGATGCTGAAACAAGAATGTGGTGCAAGTAGTTTACTTGGGAAGTGAAAAGGAAGCACCGAAAGGGGAAGAAAAGAAGGGAAAGCAGATGATCAAAGGGGCTGTGTTATCAGGCAGGTTAGGGCTGGTGGCAACTGGGGCACATTCCCACTAGGGAGCCCTGGGGTACAGCAGAAAGCACCCCCAGAGTTGTTGCCTGTCCACGGTGAGGAGCTGGGCATTAACTCCTGGGCCCTTCTGGCCCGCCCTGTCAGGGGGTCCAGGGGACTCATGGCAAGAGGAAGCCTGCTGGCTAAGACTTGCAGAGGCTGCAGCTGGAAACCTCCAGCTGATCGGTGAGACACAATGGAAATGTATCAGCCGTCCCTCTGTCTCCCGGATAAGGTGAAGAATATACTCTTCCATGTTTTCAATTGAGAAGCCCTGACCCACCAGTAAAAATGAAGACACATAAGTCTGGCCAGTTAGTTTAGTTGGTCAGAGCACCGTGTTATCCCACCAAGGTCAAGGGCTCGGATATAACCAACTGCCAAAGCAAAAAAAAATGAAGACACATAAAAGTAAAAATAATTTATCTTTTTTTTTTTTTTTTTTTTTTTAAAAAAAGATGACCGGTAAGGGGATCTCAACCCTTGGCTTGGTGTTGTCAGCACCACGCTCAGCCAGTGAGCAAACAGGCTATCCCTATATAGGATCCGAACCTGCGGCCTTGGTGTTATCAGTACCGCACTCTACCGAGTGAGCCACGGGCCGGCCCAAAGTAAAAATAATTTAGTAAATGTAGGTTCTGTTTTCGAGAATGCAACATATAAGTGCTTCGACTAACCTGATTTTAACTAACAGCAGGCAGGCTGGTTTGCTCAGTTGGTTTAGACGGTGCTCATAACACCAACGTCCAGGGTTCCATCCCTGTACCAACTGGCCAAGAAAAAACTAGCAGCAAGAACCCTTAAATGTCTTCCAACAAAAATCAGGACTATTTCAAAATATACTTCAATTTCCTGTTATGATCAGTGTCAGGGACTGAATTGTGTGTCCCCCAATCCATATTTTGAAATCCGAACCTCAGAAAGTGACTGTATTTAGAGATAGGCCCTTTGAAGAGGCAATTAAAATAAAATGAGGTAATATGGGTGGGCTCTAATCCAGTATAACCAGTGTCTTCATAGGAAGAGGAGATTAGAGGGCCGCCCGTGGCTCACTAGGGAGAGTGTGGTGCTGACAACACCAAGGCCACGGGTTCAGATCCTTATATAGGGATGGCCGGTTAGCTCATTTGGGAGGATGTGGTGCTGACAACACCAAGTCAAGGGTGAAGATCCCCTTACGGGTCATCTTTAAAAAAAAAAAAAAAAAGGTCTTTAATACCACAATCCTTTTAGGCTTATCTGGAGCATATAGGCCTTAGATGAGTCACTGTCTGTATAAAATACATGCACAGGGCTGGCTGATTAGCTCACTTGGGAGAGCATGGTGCTGATAACACCTATAAGGCCCCATAGAAGACCCCAAAGGAGGCACTCCCTAAAACATGGCACTTTTCTCTTCCGGGTCCTAACAATCTCGCCGGCGCCCAGGTGCAGCCTATCAGAAATCACTGCCCGCCCCCAGCCAATCAACTACCGCCCCGTGTACTAACCACCCTCTCCCGGAACCGGCTCTATATAAATGTATGCTTCTCCCCCGAATAAAGCGGAACTTTTCCCGTGAACTGTCAGCTTGGGTCCTGTCATCCTTTCATTGGTGCCGAAGCCCGGGAGGAGCTCACCCCTTACCCGAGGGGACTCCTTCTCGGACCTCCTTCCAACACCAAGGTCACAGGTTTGGATCTCCGTACCACCACCTGCCAAAAAATAAAATACACACTTTTTTTTTTTTTTTACATAATTGAGATCACTGTCTATGCCAAGGGTCAGCAAAGAATGTCTAAGTGATAGAGAGCACAGGTCTGGCTGCCTGTCCCCTCTCAAAAACAAACCATTCAAAAGTCAGATGTTGGTGAAAATGGAAGTCAGCTTTTATTCAGGAGCACCGGTGATCTGAGGAGAGATGTTGGGCTTAACCCATCTCTCTGGTAAACCTAAAGAAGAGTGGCCAGACTACAGCCAGCTCCAAGACTCAGACTTACTGAGGGATTTTATCAGCACTGCACTCTCCCGAGTGAGCCACTGGCCGGCCCATTACTGAGGGATTTTAAAGAGGGGGCTGAGGGAATGGAGCGTGAGAAATGAAAAGCAGGGGCCGGCCCGGTGGTGCACTGCTACAGTGCGCCGCTTGGGAGCGCTGAGGCGCTCCCGCCAAGGGTTCGGATCCCACATACAGACCGGTTCCCGCTCACGGGCTGAGCGAGGTGTGGGAGCAACACCGAGGGTTGCGATCCCGTTGCCGGTCCCGGTCCGGTACGGGCGCGACACTGAGGGTTGCGATCCGTCGCCGGACACGAAAAAAGACAAAAAGGAAAAAAAAAAAAAAAAGAAATGAAAAGCAGGAGAGAAGGGGGACCTGAGCTGTGGCGGGGTCTGTGCAAGGAGCCAGGTGCAAGGTCTCGCCAAGACTCTGGTTTCTCTTCCCACCCTTGCTGTGATCCCATGGTCCTCTTGGAGGGTGGAATCAGCATGGCTTTACCAATGTCCTCTTTGGTTTCCCAGGTCTGGATAGTACGTGTTCAGGTTGGCTGGAAAACAACTTTGCATTCTTATAAATAATGTCATCTTTCCCCATAACCAAGGTTCAAAATATCAAATAACCATAGGAAAAGAGGGAACTCAGAGAAATGCATGCCTAGAAAAAAAATGT